TTAATTAAAGTCAACACTATTAGCTTCCTAACTTTCCATCTTCTCTGATTACCAGAACATTCAAAAAAGGTAAGGGTGAACCTAATGTTTCTTTCACATTGGTTAATTGAGAGCCGGAAACGTTTAAGCTATTTTTATCATTAGGCCAGAGGACGAAATTTTCATCTATGTATCTAACTCGTAGTTATTATTGCATTTTACAATACTTGTTCCTCCTGCTTGGCCATAACATTTTTCTCCAGGATAGAAGCTAAGCAAGATTCCATCGCAAGTTCTTGTGTTTTTTTATATAACTCACCATCAAGGGTAGATTAGGTGCTACTCGTGGATAGGCTAATAAGTTTATATATGGACGCTATACTCAACCTTATTCCTTGTGTGAGCTCTGGATGCTCCCCCATAGTTTTTACTATAACCTGAATGACTTATTAAGCAAGAATATTTGTGTGCATAGGCAAATCAAAACTTACTATCCTATCTTCCTCGTAGCTTATCTACTGATCAACTAATTTTACAATCTCGTGAACTGCGTCACCTTGAACATAATACTAAAGCAAAAATGGTTGCGATACAACGGGAATCAGCTGTCTTCTTCTTTCAGTAAGATCGACCTTTAAATATATTCTTTATGTAGTTTCATACGAAATTAGGGTCTTCATAATATACCAAATAAGAATGTGAGAATTATTAAAATGTTTTAGATAAATGATGAGGATTCAAAGGATATTTACACTTCTAACAGGAGTTCCCTTTATTTAGGTTCTTCGGTATTGTCTAGATATCCGAAGGAGATATGTTGTGACCTATCCGAATTATGATTTTAGCGTTATTTAAAAAGAGTTATTGTTACTTATAATTAACAAAAATTGCTAATCTGGCTTTTTACTAAATCCTATACCAACTTTCTTCCTATTTCTTTTTTATTCTAAATTAGATTTATAATACATGGCTTCTTAATAAACCCAATTATATACATGAATATACAATTATTTGATAAACTAAGCTAAATTTTAGCCCTCTATTCACTCTAACACATTTTATCTATTTGCCCCACCTTAGTCAGACACTTGTACTGCATGTGCTGGCACAATTATCCTAGAATTTGCCACATTGAGTCGTCTCACAGGCAACCCTGTCTACGAAAATAGAGCCGCCCAAGCTATGGCCGTCATTTGGCGCCAGAGGAACCGATTCTCCGATCTAGTTGGTACAGTGATCAACGTACACAATGGGGATTGGGTCAGAAGAGGTAATTCTCTAATTTATATATATATACTTTTTAAAGCCTCATTAATGTCCTTGCTATCTTCCCTATATCATTTATTTTTTCCACTAAAAATCATCACTATTCATCTTGTCTTCCGGCATACATTTTTTGGATATTGTGATATTTTTTATGTTTAATTATCTTTCACAATATTTTATCATTTTCAAAATCCCTCATTAGCTTCCGCGTGATTCTACAATTGTCATACTCGAGGTACCAACAATTCGGAGTTTCTCTTTAACTTATTTAAGGCCATAATTGCATCCAATTAACATAAATTCCTTATCAAAGGTATGAATACCAAGATGGTATGGCCTTTTGTGTGGTCGCAGTCTCCTTTCGTTGTATAGAGGT